AAGCTGTGCAATGCTTTTACTACTTTGAATAATGTTTAATGCACATAAATAATTTCATGTGTTAAAATGGTAACACCACTCTAGGTGATAGAGCATAGATCAAGATTACTTGGGTCATTGGCAGCTATGAGAAATAAAATTCTGATAAGTAACATGGGCTGAAAAAGCTCATCTCACTCTTTTTAGCAGGCCAGCTGCTTCAGAGAAGCAGACCAGTAAAGTAAAATAATAATAAAACAAATCTACTACTGGGATTCCCAGCCTCAGGTATTTTTCTCACAAAAACAGGACTAAGAGTGTATAATGAAGGGTGATCTCAGTGATCCTTGTGGAATGAATGGTTGACATACGAAAGCAACACTATAGCACAGCAAGAACAGCAGATATTTCATAACTTTAATTAGACACTTCCTTTGTAAAATGCAGTCGAGTTCCAGATCAACATTTTTACTCGAAAAATCATGAGTTGAGCTACTAAACCCAGTTACGAAAATATTTTCCTCCTGTAAATTTGTAAGCAAGCCATAAAGAAGTAACATTTTACTCCCTTCTCCTTTACCTATTTTGAGATTAGGACTTGGAATATTAAAAAAAACAAAAAGAAGGATTTATGAGAAGGCTTTTAGTTACGGTAGAAGGTTATCACACATTCTTTCTTAAGGCTTTCTTGTCCAATAGCAATTTTGTGGGTTTTTCTTACTCTCAAGACCATTGTTTTCAAACAAAAAAAAAATCTAACCTTAAGAATTTCAAGGTGTCTGTAATATTTTCATTCTTTTCCTCCCTGCCAAACAGCATTCGAATACACTTACTAACTCAAGAGAATTCCTTTTAAAAAAAAGAACTTTCTGAGAATCTTTTAACTAATCTTTTAACTAATGGAGTCAGTATAAAAATGAGCAATCTTGTAACAGCTCTAAATTCTGACACACAATTCTAATCCATCCTCACCAGAGTACTAAGCCTTGCAATCCTATTGGGTTTCAAAACATCTGGTGATATTGTGAACGTCCCAGCCCGTGACAAACTTCATCTTTTGAAGCATGGCTCATATCTATTCATAAGATGACATCTGAGGGAAGCAGTGTCTTCAGGAGGTTGTATTTTGTCTTGTATTGGACACACTTCACGCGTTTCCAGAATATATACCCAAATTCTTGGCCTGTTTTATTTTTGATGAAGACAGTCAGTAATCTCTTCATTTATAATGTCTAAATTAGGTTACTATAAATCATGGATTTATGACAAATGAGATAAACATTCCCAAAATACCTTTTGGCAAAATGCTTTTGGACTGCAATTTTGCCAGATTTTTATTTGTCTGCAAAATTGTCATTCATTCTATAGTGTATGGAGACATCATTTAGGTTCTGTCATACAACAGAAAAATTTTCTTATGTATAACTCTTTCCACATGTATAGGTTGCACATATTAGTGACTCCATCATCTTTTATTTGGGCTCAGAAACTTACATACCACAGCTCGTAAAAAATCTTGGGTTTTTCTGGTGTAATATTTCTGGAGGTTTTTGTTCTTTCACCTACAAGGCATGAAAGAGAATTCTGCTATCCTCAGCTTCAAATTACATTTGAATTTTAAATACAGTACTGAAAGGTTGTTCTCCTGTTGTTTTTGTAGGTTAAGCTTAAAGGCTAAGATTTATTCCTACATAAAATGTTTTCGTCATTTTAAAAGAAAATTTTTAAAGAAAATTTACAGGACTGATTTTCTGTAGTCGCGTTTAACATATTCCAGTGCTTTATTACAAGAAGACCAGTTGTGAAACACTCCTGAACTCTGACAGAGATCCCCAAATTAGCTGGGATTACATAAACCAAGACTACAAACTGTTTTCTGAAGCTTGCAAGATTTTCTAAACCAAATAAAAATGACTTATAAAGAGACAGGAAGCAATTAACAGTAGACTTTTTTTTTTTTTTTGCAGAGCAGAAAAGAATAAGTGATGCTAATCTGAGGAAACAATGACTTCAAATTTTCAGAAAAATGATTTCTACAACAAATGCATAAATCAGCCCATGCAGTGCTTCTAAATTCACAGAAAAAGTATCATAAAAGTGAAGACCTACTGTATCAAACATGCCACAATTTTTTCTTCTGATAACAGCTATTTAGGTTAGGGCGTGACTTCTTTCTGATATAGTTGTGCTACTACAACCCCTAGTGTGGACACTGTTTACTGCTGTGAAGGCAATGCACTATTTTTTTTTTTTTTTTAAAAAGCTTGTTCCTAAGAAAGTAAAGCATTAAGTATTTTATTTCATCACAGTCACAACCACAACAGGAGAGCTGAAACAGAAAAAGAGAGGGCAGTAGGTTATGCTACTTTACAATATACTGACTCAGATGAACAGATGCAGTCTTCGTGCTGAGAAACCGTGAGGTATACTTCTTCCTTGCCCCTTGCACCCTCAATCCTAGGGTTAATCACATCATGATGGATGATTTTACAAAATAGTTATTCAATTTAAAAGGTTGCATTGCTCTTCGGTTCTTTATTTTTATTTTAAAATATATTCGTGTCCAAAGTCAATTACAGGTATTCCCACAAAAGCACCAATATTCTAAATTAGTCCTTACTGAGTGATACAGACAGGAAAAGAGATATTGGAAAAAAAGAGGAAAATACTATATATTACGTACATATAATTTCCTTTAACTTTCCTAAATGATACAAATTCATTTTCAAAGAATGTTTTAAATATCAGCTTTTACCAAATGTATACCTGATCATCTCAGATTGCACACACAGGAGTTTCTGACTCTTCTGACATACCTGGATAGCATTAATCCTTTTTATAAAGTCATTATATACAAACTCAGATACATCTTCAAAACTAGAACTTACCCACACAATTAACAAACAAAAGCACATCTCAAGAAACAAGGAAACTCATTCTCAGTATATCAAAATTGAATTCGAAATAACATTATTTGCTTTTAAAACAGAAAAATGCATAGCAGCACTGTTTGTACACTAGTATCTCTTAACTTTTAAAATATAAATATGTATTTGTTATGAACAGATGGTGGCCAAGAAAGTATCAACTCTGTCTTAGCCAGAAGGTCAGGTCATGGCTGAGAGACCAAAGAACAATTACTGTTTGCAATTTAGTGCCATGTAAGATAAAACATCTTAGGTTCACCTTTAAATACACTAAGTGTGATTAAGCTGTTTTCATTTTACTTATATGAAACAATTTGCAGTGACAATGTTTGTAAAGCTATGCTTTAAAACAAGAAGAAAAAAAAAAAAGGAATAAAACACAACTTTTAACACATTAAATAATATTAAGACCTATACAGAACTTTCTTGATTACTAGAGCCTCACCAATGAAATAGCTAACAGACACTGAGCCTCAGTATTTAAAAAAAATAAGTTTGTTTTCCATTGTTTTTTTTCCTACTTTTCTTTTACAAAGGAACCAACTATGGTATTTGAACAATATAGTTATTTACATAATTACTGAATTACTCTAATCTCTACTGGTAGGGATTCTCCCTCCATCACCTTACTGTAATTATATCAAATTACCACGTTTTAGTATACTCATTCCCACAATGAATAAAATACTATTATGTCAATACATGAGATTAGAATGTGTTGTTCAATTCTGCAATTTGTTCAAAAGGCAATCCTGAAGCAAGTCACAGAACAGGATTTAAAATCCAAGTTGCTTCTTCAGATATCCTATTAAACACATCCTGTTTTATTTGTATGCCAAGATTATGCCAACTCTCTTATCTGTGATATCTGTCAAGGCACAGACGACAAGCCTGCTTTTTGTTTTTCAAAGTGTCCTCAGGCCTAAGGGATGCAGGAGGATAGAAAAAAAAAAAAAAAAAAAAAAAAAAAACACACAGAAAAAACAAGCCTGAAAACAAAAGGCTTTGGAAGGCCCCTGCTCTTCTGAGCTATATGATTTTTCAATACATATTAATGAGTTATTTTACCTAATTAAGCTTTTTTTTATGTATCTTTTTTTTTACTATAATTTGAATCAATAACCTTTCCAGTCCAAACTTGTACTTAAGTTAATAAACTTATTGTCTACATGTACATTTTGGGCAACTGGTAAATAAAATTTAATTTTAGAAATACTGCATTTTTTTCCACGTACGTTCTTACACAGGGGCTGATTTGCTCACTTATTTACAAGTGAAAGAATGATTTAAAACTTGTTGGATAGTCTGCTCTATGCACAAAATCCATGTAAAAATTATGCTTTCATGCATCTTATGCACTCCTCTGTGTATTCAAAAGAAATTTACTCTCATGAAAAAATCACAATTTTGAAGGAATAACTGGAAGTTTGAATACCTAAAGAAAAATGGACAGAACTTCGACAAAAAGGGCACTTCAAAAGATGCAGACTACACCAGTTTAAGCTGTTTGCCAAGTATGTTGCATGTTATCCTAACAATATTCCTTACTGTAGTGGATGTTTTTTTCACCTGTAAAGCATATACTGGTTTTTGTATACAGTATAAGAGACAGTTTGTTTTTTAAACTTTTCTATGAAGCCCAGCATTCATTAGACTTGAATCTTTAAAGAAACTGGAAGACAAATGATCTTCTTTTTTCCTGGTACAGTTAGTTTATATTTAAGACTTCTTAGTGTTTTGTCAAGCTATATGTATACCTAGTTACATGTGATTTACTTGTTAGAAAAGACTGCATAAGCATATGTATACAGCATATACAATTCAAGTACATTGTATGAATTCATATGCTAAAGTAATTCTGTATGAAAGCATGGGATGAGTACTACGTAAAACTTAACAAATTAGGGCTGAAAACAAGAATAAGATAACCAAGAGGTATTTACTTAACAGTAATAGCTGGCTTGTTGCCATTAATTCAGAAACCATTTAACAGTAATAAATGACCACTATTAGAAAAATGAATCATTCCAACTTCCGAAATAACCCTATTTAGGCTTCCAATAACTGCAAAGCTACAGCAGTATCATCTCTTACCTGGTCCTTAATTTCAAGCTGCCTTATAGTTTTTGTTCTGTACTCTCTGAGCTCCTTTTCTGCCTCATCCTTCTTCATTTTGGTTTGATTCAACTGATAGCGCATTTCTCCACACACCTGTTAGATTATACAGACAACATGATCCGTAGCTTGAAGAGCCAGGATTTGCAATGAGATCTTTTGGTGCCCTCTAGAGGTCATTTAAGCGCAAGATTTTAATTTACAGAAATTTTAAGACCACATATGGTAAATGTTTTTTACATAAAAAGCAGATCTGAATTCTCTATATAGTGGTTAACTTTGAAATATGCACAGCCTTCTACATTCAATTATATTTGGATCAAGATTTTGCTAACTATAAATATTTATGTTGTAAATATATGTGCCACTAAATACTGTTAAACTACTGTCACTTTTATATTCTTCTCCCATTCTTTTTGAAATCTCAAGAAAGTCTATGTGAACAACCTAGAAGTAAAGAATCTATCATACTCCTATGTAAGGACTGTTTCTTGTCTTGCCAACTCTCTGCTGTTAAGAAAAAAACATTTAGATGTTAATACATTAATTTTCAAAGTTAGATCAGAGCACTATAGACTTGCTAAAAGTCAAAGATAAGTTACTTTAAAAATGCGTATTTCTACCATATGCACGGGCCAAAAGAAAGGGACTGAAGCAACATTTGAAAAAAAATAAAAGATCACTCCCACAATATCAACAAGTATTCTGTGCTATTGGGATGTTCACTATCTGAACCCCTCATTGCTTTTACATCTGAAAGGTTGCTTTTACATCGGAATGGTAGCTTGACTTCAGAAGTCTTGAGGGAGGCTAACCCCTCCCATGTAACTACTCTGTGACAATATTACTCTCCTATTTCTTGACTTCATGGGTTTTACTTAAATTTATCTGTTAGGAACCGAGAAGGATAGCAGAGAAGCTGTCTCCTTTTCACTTTCCCTGGCTAATTACCTCCAATTTGTGGCTATTTATTTTATCTTAATAATGAACAAAACAAAAACAAAACAAAAACAGAACAAAAAAATATGCAAGATTGCTTTCCCTCACAATCCCCAATGAGAACAGTTACTCTTAGAATTTTCTTACCAACTCACACCTGCCCTGCTTATTCTCTTCCACAAGACTTGCTTCTTAAATAGGCACATTTTTAACATGTTACTGGCCCCCTGCACTTCTTTGCAATTTCCAGTCACACATTCTACAAGACAAATTCATTTTGACCGTTCAATCGCATCTCTCTTCTCATTTCCATATTTTTTTCACTCTTAAAAAGGTACAGGGGAAGTAAGTATGCATAGTAAGTAAGTAACAACCATCAGGCACCTTATGAAAAAACCAATAACAAAAGGAACTGTGAGAAATGCTTGTGTCCAATAGTCTCAGCTCAGGCAGAATTAGCTATGAATCACAATTTATTTCACGCTTTTGCAGAAGTGAACAACCTTCAGAGTAGAGAGGTGCATCAGAGCAGAGAGTTGCAACAGTTTATATTTCTTATTTCCCAGCACAAATTTCCTCCCACTTCCCCACTGGTTGAATACTCCAGGGGTTTACAACCCATCTGACTCTCCTAATTCCCTTAGCAGTTGTCCCACCCCTGTTTACTGCATGGTGAACCGCTCCTAATTCTTTTTTAGTTTTTACCTATTATGGTATGCTGAGATAACCTCTCATAGTCAACCTTCCCTTCTGGTTCTCACTGAAATCATAGAACCAGTCTGTACCAACACATCTTCTGATGCTACTTAAAAACACAGGTCTTCTATTATGTGAGCAGGAATTTATCTTGTATCAGAGCTCCACGGCACCTCTTTAGATCTCGTTAGAGTCATAACATCTTACTATTATCCAAAACAACATTTTTTTTCCTCACAGAACTGTTCTGACATTAAGATACAGCATCACTTATGAATTAGAAGTATGAGAGGGAAAAAGGATCATTTTCTTGGAGGATAACTTGCTAATTCAGTCCTGTTGCAGATGATGGAAACTACAAAACACTATAAACAATGATATAGGTTTTTATCTGTTTTTATTTTTATTTTTATTTTTATTTTTTTTTAACATTGAAATGTGACATGCAACTGAAAAGTCCTAAGCAGCAGCTGCACAGACCGCCAATCCTGTTTTTCTAATGGCTCCATTCTTTATATTAAGAATGAACAAACTGTGACCTGTTCCTTCCTCTAAGCAAAATAAAAAACATGCAGCCATCCCTGCCTCTGGCTTCCCTGCACACAGTACACACTGAATAACACAGAAGGATCAGCAGATGGTGCTGTCCTAATAACTGATTTTCCAGCCTTCTAGTAGTTCAGAATGAAGGTTGAAAAAGAATTCCAGAGAAATCAAAATTTAGTGTTTTTATTAATAGCAAACCAAGCTTGGAAATGAATCAGATGCACAAGGGGATGCAAACATTATACAACCAATGAAAGCAGTCATGACGATGCACGCTGTCCCAGGAGCTCAACATTAGGACTTTCCTCCAGAATTTTTAGTTGAGCTCAGGAACATGAACACACTTTTCCAGTCTCTCATGACAGTGCAATGAAAACACAGCATTGCCTATTGCAAAGGAATCACCTATTCAGCTTTGCATCAATTTTAACTCAAGCAGAGACTAGGAGCACAAAATTACCTCTCTCAGGAGATTGGTTCAAATCATGCTGGTTCAAATCAGCAGGCTATAAAATCAGTCAACCCAAATCAGTACATATTTGGATGTATTGCTTCCATCCCTTACTACCCCACCCTCAAAAGTAGCACTACAGCCATCCACAAATCTGGTCCAGAAAAGCAAAACTTTCATGTATCAGAAGAGGTAAAACAGATCATTTTTACAATCTTAAAATGACCTTTATTTCTTTGAGTTGAATTTGAATTAAGTTTTCTAGTGCATTTGATGGGCTCTTTGCTGTAAATTTTCTGCATAACTTTCACCTATTTGTAGCAGAATCGGCCACTGAGGAAGACAAACAGCTGACAATCTCCCCAGTGGAAGTGGAGGCCTGAAGAACAAATTGTTCCCCAAAAATCTTGCAATTAAGTACTGGCTGTAGGGTTACCGAGCAGCCACAAACATTTCAAAAGGTCGTAACAAATTTTCATCTGCAGATTGTCTATTCTATATGAAATTAGCATCCCCTCATCTTCATGAAGTTGAATTAATTCCTACGATAAAAAAATAACTGCTGTAACAAGCTATCATTCCCCATTATAAGCTTCAGACTGCGTTTTTTTTTTTTATTTCTCATGTCATAACATTAAGGCTCTAATGGGTTGAGAATTGTGCAGTATAGAGCACCCCAAACCAATACAGACAGACCTGATTTGCATATAATTTTTTTATACTGTATGTATATAAAACAGATCTAATATATATTTTAAACAGTAATTCTTACATAGAAGAAATATTTCTTTGTAGAATGCTTATCATCAACATTAATTAGTAAAGAAGTACACTGCAAAGCATTTCTACAAGTACTTGAAAACCTGTAATTACAGGACAGGGTTGAATACTATGCATCTTATTTATACCTAATACAAATTATAATCAGAATTTGCATAGTCTGTGAAAAAGGAAGCTTAACTTTTGAATCACAAGACACAGAAGTTCTCTTCTGTAAAACTTTACATGGAATCTTCAGAAGAGTTTATGTTTGTAATCACATGCTCTTTACCAATACAGAGAAAAATGGAGAAACAAAAACTCTCATCTTCCAAGTCACAACAACGAGGTAAAGCAATGTGCCTACCTTGTTCATCTCCATTTCGTGAGATGCAAGCTGATGTTGTGATTCTTCTAACTGGTTAACCAGAGAATTCTTTTCCCTTGTAATTCTCTCTACCTGAGCCTCTAACATGGCAACATTCTCAGACATGGCCGTCACCTGCAAAATAAACAAGAACACAGCAATGATGAAATTCAACCAGCTACAGATTTAAACCCTGTAGGACTTTCTCCTTGAAAGTAACTGTAGCTATACAGACAAAATATACACCAAGAAATGCAAGAAAAGGCATAAATTAGAAATATAATAAAAATGTTAACCAAATACAACTAAATTACTTTAATAATTGGTATGTTATTTTGAACTGATTTATCATGAGGTCATGTATTTGAAACTTTCCATTAGTCAGATTAGTCTTCAGAACTTGCTAACGTGATCAAAGTGTCATAAGCACCTGGTTGCAATACTTTTGCAGCTATGGAAGAACTATTTAACACCTCCTTACCTGTACTTATACAGATTGGTTTCAACAAAACAGCATTCCCCCAACTATCTTTTGCACCAGCAAAAAGACAACTGCCACTGTAAGTATACATATTCAATTAATTCCAAGTTCAGACAGTACTTTCGCACTGAAAAATCAAAGCATAACACAAAAAGCATATAGAAGTAGTATGCTAAAATTTTAATTAATTCAGATCAAATTTTACTGAACACTGGAAAAAAAATGTAACAATAAAACAGAGACAGTGACCCTTCAGCTATTTAGCCCTGAAGCTTACTAATGTAAGTGGAAATAATGGTGTCTGACAGTTCTAGGTTAACTTACAGGAATTCAAAGCCAAACCTAGAGGATTACATATTCGTAACTATTCTTCACTTATAATATATCCACCTGAATTTTGGAACATGCTATTTCTTTCCCTCAAACAAATGACTTCTAAAAGAAAGTGATGAAATACTCACATAGCATACAGTGCATCAAGTCAACCCTTATTTCTACCATTTCATTTTCCTGAAGCATAATAGCTAGTTGAATAATACTAGACTTAAATCATACATATAGATCATAGTTTTCTAGAAAGTCACTCTGTATCTTTCTTAATTACTAAGAATGACATCATCATAGTATCAATATGCAACATTTAATGTGTATGTGGGATTTGGAAAAAAAATTGAAAAGAAAAAAGACAGGCTACAACTCCTAAGACTTCAGATCAGTTTCAGTAAAACACAGCACAGCTGCTTTTGATGAAATACAAGGTGATGTACTGACATGAAGGAATGAATTATTCTGCTGAAAAAAAAGTACAACATGCTTGTTGAATACTCTGTATTTTAGAGTGCATATTCTGCTCTGAAATAAATCTAAATGACTAAAGATGTAAGCACAGAATCATAGAGTATACCAAGTTGGAAGGAACACACAAGCATCACTGACTCCATCTCTTGGCTCTATACAGGAACTCTGAATTTCAAACACTCCTTGAACTTCAGCACGCCTAAGGCCAGAATCACCACCCTGGGGAGCCCCACTCCAGAGCCCAAACATCTGGCCTAATTCTGCTGAAGAACTTTTTTCTAATCCCCAACCAGAACCTCACCCGACACGGCTCCATGCCATTTCCTTGGGTCTTGTCACTGTAACCAGAGAGCAGAAATCAGTGTCTTTGCTCCCCTTGTGAGTAAGCTGTGGCCACCATGAGGCTTCTCCACAACCTCCACTTCTTCAGGCAGAATAACTCAAGAGATCTCAGTCACTCCTCACATGCCTTGTCCTACAGACCATTCAGCATCTTCATAGCCCTCCTCTGGACACCCTCTAATAATTTTGTCTTTAAGGATAACTTCCAACAGACAGCAATGACTTAAACAAAAACCTGCTTACTGCTTAACGACGGCTCACTGTCCGCAGTTTAAGTTTTAATTTCTATTTGCCTTGCCAACAGATCTATGAAGACCTCTTGTAACAGCTTACTTTTAAAAATATTCAATCCTCATTACTGTACTTAATTCTTGTTTTTATATCTAGAATTGGATTCGAAGACTTTAAATTCCTATGACAGCTTCAGAATATTATCTCACAATACCAGAAATACAACCATATTTCTCTGAGTTCCATGCTATATATGGTCATATTACTATTTGGCTTATTTCTAAAAAGAGCCAATAAATACAGAAAAAAAAAAACTACAGTCAGAAGAGAAATTCACTGTATTATTCCCAAAATTCCACCATAAAATGATTGAAGATGCTCTAAATCCAGTGTCCTATAGGTTTACTGATGTTAGGATGAAGTTTCCTCTGTATATGTTACTTGGCAGAAAACTCTTGTGCTTTATACTCACATTACACTTGGATCTAGAAGTGTAAAGCAAGATTATGCTACAACAGTCAGTCAGTCTCGGTCAGTCAGTCTCAATATAAATAATGAGATTCTGTCTGAAAGATTCCATTAATATAAGGTTGTTTTATTTTGCTTTAAACAAGATTCCTCCACATTTCTGTAGGTGGGAAAATTAAGTGTTGATCTCTCCAAAAAATACCATATTAAAATGCAATTACAATACTGTAGCTTTGATATATAATGTAAGTATTACGCAGCACAAGGTCCTAACCTTCACACATACAAAATTTGGAACGTTCAACTTGACAACCTAAATACTATTCCTTATAAGAAGCTAGGAACAAATCACACTTTAAAGTAGTGTTGGAACAGATTTACGGAGATCGAAAATTCAAAATAGAAACAAAATAAAGGATGCCCAAACAGAAAGTTTAGAGAAATTTTATGCTCCTTGTATATACAAATAGGAAAAATGATATGCATACCATTGCTGCCAAGTTCTCCCTTTCTTTCTTCATTTCTTCCCGCAGAGCTTCTTTTTCTTCAGTCCTCTTATTGAGCTGGACAGCTAGCTCCTTTTCAAGACGATTCTTCTGGCGTTCCATCTCACTTTTCAGTTGCTCACACTGAACTAGAGCCTAATAAAGAAAAATACAAAAACAATTAGGTTTCTCTTACTCAAAAAATAAAACATTAAATTACTGCAGTATGTATCTAATGTGTTCAGAGAAACCAATTCACTATTAGGATAGTTTTTGGGTTTTTTTGTTTGTTTTTGTTTTTACCTTTTAATGTAGTTATGATGTTTATGCAATCCCACCTATTAACATTTAGAATAGGACTAACAAATTGAAAACAGACACACATTTATTTGTATAAACATGCCCTGCTGTGATTTGTAATTCTAAATGCATCTCTAAATGCATTTAGAAGTCAGGGCAAAGAAGAAAGCACTTGCAGGGTATATTTTCCAAATAAGAAGCTGTTCTTCTACAGCTGATTACTTGCCTTTCATTTAAAACTCCTGAACGCACATCTGTAGAACCAGCCTCCTATACCTAACTCCTCTCAAACTTCTGTTTTTACTATATGAGTAGTTCAAAAAGTTATTCTCTATGAAATCTATGCGGAAAACACTCCTGGATTTACTGCAGCTATGCAAGTTTAGCCTCTCCAGATCTCCTCCTGCCTCTGAGAACAGAAACAACTAAAAAAGCCAGGAAAAAATGATGCTTTTTAAAAAATAAATACCTGAGGTCAGATAGTGTGACAGGATAATCAAACTTAATAAAGTGGGCTTCTAAATGCTACCCCCTCACATTTCTCAGGTGGACTTTTCTAAGTGGTTCTTTGATACTTACAAAAACAAACAGCCAATTTGTGCTTACCAAGATAAATACTAGTATTTGTAAAATAAATAAATAAATAAACACACCAGTCAAGCAAAAAGCCACCATACAGAACTGCTTTTCTCATATGAAAGACTTAAAACATTACTAACGTGAGCTAATCTGACTCATCATCTCTCTGTTGAGTAAAAACTTGAAGCTGCAATAATAACATCTAACAAGTATGTAGGATTTCAAGCTATGTTTTCTCCTACGAATCACAGACTCCATACACACATCCCTACAGCACTGGATAAGTAATATTAACCACTACTGCTTATTTGGTCATTAGAACCATTACATCAATCTTACCCAAAAACAAAGGCACTTGATTAAAAATAAATATACTTAAAAACCAAATAATTCAATAATGATTAAAAAAAAAAAAAATAGAAACATCCCCAAACCACAACCACTCAATCCCATAGTAATTCACTAATAATACAGCAGATGTCACTAAATCTCAAAGAAATAATTTAGATCAAAAATTATAGTAACTAGGGCTAGCATAAGCATTAGATCAAAACTGGTTTTGTCGTTACTATTTACCCCGTGCCAAAAGGTTCAAAAAGCTTTTTTTTGATTTATAACTCTGAAGATGAGAAGTCCTATATAATAACTAATCAATTCTTGCCTTGCACCAATTTGAGGTAAAACTAATTGTTTATAAATGTTTCAAATATACTTTCAGGAGCAGTTCATAAATGTGATATTACCTGTGTGACCTATTGTAGGGCACTGCCTTAGCAGGGGGGCTGGACTCAATGCTCTCTTGTGGTCCATTCCAACCCCTTGACCTTGTGATTACAATTATCTTCCTATATGTTGTAAATGCCTTTGAAAAAAATTACCTTTCAGTTTTTATCATCTAGCTCTGAAACTACTTAAGAATTTAAATAATGGCCTCAGAATGCAATACATCCCACAGCTTTGGATGACAACTTAAGAATCCAGAGTTTGTGTTACTGCTCAAAAGTATTCACAGTTTGAATCTACCACATCAGTAACAAAGGCTTGATGCACACATTCTCTCATTAGCTTGCAAACTAATTCATATTTATAGGAGTTTGGAATACTCAAAAGCTCTAATCTTTTTGATGACTTTACCTTTGTTTTTTCTAAATTGGCCTCTTCTGTCATTTGCACAGCTTGTTTAACTTGCTCATATGCATTAGATTCTCTTTGCTGCATCTCTTTCATGTTTCGCCTCACTGAAACAAGTGCATCCATCAAATCATCTCTTTCTCTGCACATAAAAAAATGAAAGAACATATTTCTTCTGTATCTTCCCATAAGTAGGGGAAAAGCAGGTGTATTAGATAAACAGATATTTACAGATAAAATAGATATTAACAGACAAAAGACAAAGATATTAAGTGAAGCAAGACTAAAACCAGTACAGGTTAAGCACAAAAGACAGAATACTCTTAGTATCTGCTGAGCTGTTAGTATCTATCACTTGCTATTGGTCTTATGCTTCAGGATGGACTGTTAGGGAAGCTACCAGTAAATCTGGAAGAATTCAGGTCATGAATGCGCTGAAGCTGAGTAACATTACAAAATATGAATCCATGTTTTAAAAAAAAAAAAAAAGCTCTATAAAATATCAGAACAAAGCAATATGGCATTACCCTGTCATTACATGTAAAATAGGAAGGAAAAATTATTGAAAGAAAGGATTTAAGTTCCAAAAATAATTCAGATTATTGAATATATCAGGACAAAACAGTAGCTCTTTGCTACTGTTACTATAACTGAGCTAAAGAAAAATACTCTTGGATTCTACACTTCTGCACAACTTCTTTATTAACAAAAACTAAGTTCTATATCAAACCATATCAAAATGAGTAAAGTTAGATACTTAACTATTCCACTGTTTTTCATATGGTGAATGCTTTTCAGTTCTGAGAGAATAATTGTCTCCATCTATTTACAGAACAACTAGATTGAAAATTGCTGCTGTTTTGTTTGTGCATCTGCTGCATTGAATGGTAACACAGTTCTGCGTATTCATTTCAGCAGCATTTGCACAAACTACTTAGTCCTTGTGAAAATATCTACTGTAGTATCTTTGCTTTAATAACTTCCATAAAGAAGATGATTTCAGATGTTGATGGGAGATGGTTTAAGAGGAAGAAATAAATCAGCTCAAATCTTTTGTTTCAAGCTGCCCTGTAACACAAGGTGACAAAAAATGTACTGGCTGAGTTTCCATAGTTTCTGTGACAACAGTTACTTTAAAAAAAAAAAAAAAAGTAGATTTGGAAACATGATTTTTCAGCAACAGAGAGCTTTCCCAGAAAATTCTTGGACTTGTGACAACAGAAAAATACATGAATCCTCCCAACATCCATATAATATATAGAGATCACATCCATTTGTCAAACAGTATGTATTATGCCCCTTCAGACTTCTCACTTCTAATTGACCCACTACCTCCTCTTCAGCAGAATCATTCTAAAAGTCTGGAAATCCTAAAAATCTTCATGTATCTGACAATAGACAGATGGTTGTTTAACAAACTTTGAGAAAGCTGCAGTATCCTGTCACTATTACTAACAAGTAAAAATGGAGAGATTTCTGAAGCGATGGACTAGCAGCATTTCTTTTAAAAAAAAAAGTTAATGCTTTCTGAATTACTGTATCTCATTACAAAACACATATACTATGTTCAGTTTGTGCAGTTGTTTTCTAAACTCTTTAAATAAAAGCCACAATTTAAAAACAGTTGCTAAAAATAATTTGATTTCTTTCTGATTTAAAGGAAGTTGCCTTGAATTAGTTAGCAAAGGATTCCAGTCTGAACCTATTAAACATAATCAAGGAAAACAGGGATTTCTCTGATAGAGTGAAAGTTTTACTTGTAGAATTAGCACAATAAATACAAGCTAGCAGAGTCTGGTGGGGGAAATCCCAAGGGATCACAATTATAAGATGAAGACTAACTTTCTTTTGCATTTGAAATAAGAAGACAACTACCATGGATTTCATAGTGGCTTTGACCTACACTCATATTCTGCCATTAATTTTCATATTAGAATCTGAACTTGGGACTCCACTGCCTTGTAAATGTCTCTACAAATACAACCACATTATAATCTATGTGGTTTAATGTAAGCAACTGTTACTTCATGAGAAGCTAAATACCCCCAAACTTACTTCGTTACTCTCTCAATGGCCTGCATGTGAACATTAGAATGCGTCTGTGCCAGAATTGCCTCCTGCTGTGCGCATTTGAGACAAAGACCACCAACTCGACTAGAATTTGTGGCTGAAACAAGTGATTTCTGGTGTTTTAACCTTGCTTCCAAATCTTCACATGTCTTCTGAGATTCTGAAAGGTGTTTCCTAAAAAGAAGAAATAAAGAAAAAAAATTTGAGCAACACCCAAATATTTCTACAAGCTACGCAAAATATAACAATAAATGCAAAAAAGAATTTTTTTTTGCTGTAATAAATTCCATAATGTACATTATTTTACACATTTCAGTAGCCTGTGTAAAATCTTAACAGAGAAATAGCAGTTAAACTGTCCCAACAAAATTACTAATAGATAAAACAAAATTAAATTGTTTCATCTGCTGTGACAGAAAATAGTAAAGCCACATGGAAAATTTTAGATGCAACTTGTAGTCTTACATTTTTCCTGAACAGAAAAAAAAGGATTCATTATCAAAATAAACTTTGTAAATGCATTTATACAATGGCTATGCGAATATTTCAATATCCTATGAAAACGTATTTTTTTCCTGCTCTTATTGCTAATATTAACAGTAGCTTCTCTTTTCCACGCTACTCTCAAATTAGCCAGCAAGTGACAATTCTCTTCCTAGAGAAAATCCAGCACAAGTCCTTTACAGAGAGAGTGGTGAGGTGCTGGAACAGGCTGCCCAGAGAGGTTGTGGATCCATCCCTGGAGGTGTTGAAGGCCAGGTTGGACGGGGCCCTGGGCAGTCTGGTCTAGTATTAAATGGGGAGGTTGGTGGCCTTGCATGTGGCAGGAGGGTTGGAGATTCATGATCCTTGAGGTCCCTTCCAACCCTGGCCATTCTGTGATCCATGATTCTGTGATATTCACTCTGATCACTCCAGGGATAAACTTGAGGTCAACCCCAACGCCAGAAAAACAGGGCAAATTCTGTACTTCTCTCTGAAATTTATACCAGGTTCTATAAAGAATTTTCTCTAGAATTTCTAAGCATCTGTCATGGCAGGAAGAGCTCAGTAAGAATGCTGACATCAGGAAGTTCCAGACAAATGCACACTGTGCACATAAAGATCTATCTGACAAATTGTGCAATGTATCCAAAACTTTTGGTTTGTTATGCAGACCATCTGGGCAGCATACACATACCAAGTCTGACACATTCTGGCTGTACTGGATTTACTGAGCACACGATATGTATGCTGTACATATATTTCCTTCTGGGAAAGCTTCTGTGTACTTTTTTCTTGTTTTACTAGTAGGTCTATTACATAGAATACACTATAGCCTGGACAGAATTTGCCCTGGGTATATCCTTGGACAGTCATGGCACAACAGACCTATTATTAAGAAATCTAGGGCAGAAACTGATGAGTCCTGTGTAAATTCATAACTAAAGTTAAAAAAAAAAAATAGGGATGGTTCCATCTGAAAACAGTACAATTTTGCACTTGAAAGTGCAAAATCGACAGATCTCAAGTGTTTCAAAGCACTTATGCTTTCAAAGATCACACCCCTTAGGAGGAAGTGAGAAGTTTCAAGAAGCACCTTTAGAAGTTTTCAGATGATTTCAACCTCTAATCTTTCCTTCTGAATATATTTAACACTAAGCCAAGAGGGGAAAAAGCCAAGAGATGAGGTAGCTGAAATTTAAGATTCTCCTATACTTTGACTAGCACAATTGGCTTTGTACACTTACAATTTCACCACTGCAGATAGCATATTTAAACCAGTAACTCCTTTTGCACACAAACACATGTAGAATTACATAATTTTAGATAAATTGGATTAGAAATTATTTGGGGAAAAACAAAATTAAACAGATTCGGCAGCATTACCATGAATGCAAGTACACAAGAAGTTTATTCCAGAACACCAAATGCTACAGCGTTGGCCTCTACTGCTGCTTTTGCTAATCTGCTGTCTATAATGAAACCACTCGTTTAGAGTGCATGACCTATTTTCAAATATTTTTATTTCTGAAGCTATGCAGGTTACATGACTGGAAACACAGCATGCATACTTCAAAACTATTGTTGCCCTCTGCCAAAATCATTATGTGGCCTAAACTAGCTCAGAGATTCCTAAAATTTTTGATACCAGATATTACAAGAAGAAAGTTAATTGTGAAAGAGCTCACATAAATTAAAACTTCAGCCTCTTTTTTTACTTTGTTTGTATTACCAGAGCAGGCACAGAGTCTCCATAAGGAAACCGGACAAAGAAAAAAAAAAAGATTTCATATCAAGTTTTGAGGCTCAGTAATATCTGTAAATACAATTTGACATAATCTATTGTATGGCAATACATACATTTTACAACAATGCATTCAATTATTTGAGAAAACACTAATAAATCCTTTAAAACCAGCTTTCAAGCAAAGTACTTGAAAACATCACATGTAGTCTTTAACCACACTTAGCTAAATTCAAATGAAGAATGCATCATGTTAGGAGTTGATAATATTTCTTCAACCATAATTTTAAGAAAAAATAAATATTTCACTCTACCTTAGAGATTGTACTTGGGCATCCAAGATATTGATTTTATCCTGATAAAGAAGTTTTAGTTTCTCCTTTAGACAAGATGGAAGAAGAAAAAAGAAGAAAAAACAAAACATAATTGGTTCTTTTGGTTTGTTCTTTGTACTGTTTTTACATATAAATTTAGACATTAGCCATATTTATTTTTTCCTTGAAGATATAAACCTGTTAAATCACTAGACTCAGAGAAATCTAAGCATTTCACATTTTTGTTAAAGTTCACAACTTGAATAAACCTCCCATTTCCTTAGTTCTACACAACTTGCCAGTTCCTCATATGATATAAATTCCTACAGCTCCACAAATGTCAGCCATCTACAATAATTTACAAAAATTAATGATCTTATCTCAGTTTTCCTTTTACTCTCCCACAACCCTGCATAAATAAAAGATTCTTCAAGTAGAGGAGCTATTTTTTCATAATATGATAATATGCTCCTACTACCTGGGACTCCTATTACCAAGAAACAAATAAATCAACCACAGCAGTGATAAAACACAATGATGATAGCAAGCCAAAGAAAGCATCAGAAATTTAGCTTACTATGATACTTAGAAAGAAGTCACAATCCTACAATATTCCTACTTCAAATATTACTGAGGGAAAAAAGTGCATTTATTGTAAAAAAACTAGCTGTCAAATTGTTGTTATTGATAATTGAATATGTTTTCAGCTAAACATGTGCCAGAAGCATGACTAAAAGCATCCCAAAACTTTCAATTAATCCATGTTTTTTCTTCCCCAAAAGATGGCAATGTCACCTAGTTCCTTTAGAGCAAATAAATCTAGAATACTGTCCCAAACTAAGGAAGCAGGATAGGCTCTGAATCACTAAGGGTTCTTGGTATCTCTAAAAGCACAACAAGTGTAATTCAGACCAGGGAAGACAGACTGAGCAAAGCCACTTTCGTACCTTACTGACCCTACTGTGCTCTGGAAGTAGGAAAACTCATTGCAAACAAGCTTGTCTAGAGGCCTGCCTAAAATACAGCAGCTGGTTTCCATCTGTTTATGGGTTGTGCTACTGCCAAGAACCTCCAAAGTACAGTGGAGCCATCACTGACCTGATATTCTTGAACCAAGACTTATCTCTTGGAAATCAACACCTGCAGCTACAGCCTAGCATCTGTGTCTAACTGGAGAATAATATCAATTAGTGAATGATGACGAGATAAGGTTTAAGAGAATAAAATTTGATCTCAAATTAAGGTTCAGCCAACCAAAACTCCTTCCATAATCTATTACAAAATTGCAGCAATAACAGTACTGAATGCTTTTCCAAAAGTAAAAAAAAATCCTAATACCAACCAGTTCTACATGCCATTTTTCTACTTCTCCAACAGTTTTTGAAACCAAAGCTGGATCTCTGTTATATGCTGATGATGACATAGAAGGTTGATGCAGCTTCAAGTCATTATGCCTGGAGTTCTGATTATTTGCCAAAAACAAAAATGTGTTAGTGCTTCAATTATAATTATGTACACTGTATTTTTAAACAAACATTAATTATATAAATATTGAATGTTGTAAATTTAATTACAGTAAAATATAAGAACCAGTACACAAGTTCATTAGGTTAAGGATCTGTGATGATACAGGAATTCACATTTTCAAACTGTCATTTTGTTTTGACTAAAAATCAGTTTGAAGATAATCATTTATATAAGCTTTCCTTAATAGGAGTTATTTTGCTGAACCCTGGTTAAAACAACAAGAGGAATAAAAACTTACTGAGGTATCTAGAAAAGCTTGTTCTCCCGAGGTATATTCTGCAGCCAAAAATTTCAGTTTCTGATGGAGGTTTTCATTTTCAAGTATAACTACTCGAACCTGATCTTTCATCTCAGACAACTCCTCCTGTGAGACAGAGAAACTGCATGTAAAAGGTTCCTTAAGACAATCATCAACCTCTTGAGAACAAAGATTAGATAAATATTTTCAACTATTTCAGCTTTTTCAAACAAAATCAGAACACTCAAAAAAAAACTCTGTATAAAAACAAGTTACAAAATAATCATTTCTTAAAAAATACACTTATTTGTATTTGTAAGAAGAAATGAAAACATCTTTGAAGGTCCTCAAACACTACATAAACACCAGGATGTGCAACAAAGCTCAGTGTTTATTGAACTGTGGTTTACTCATTTTTGGTCATTGAAGCAATTTATCTCAAGACGAAGCACAAGCTTTCTTTAAAGCAACTCTTCATAACTGGGGGATCAGGGTTTCAGTAGCTGAAATATATTATGTAATAAATACCTTGTAAAACTTCACTTCTGCTTCTAAATGGTTAATGTACTGAGACTGATCATTAATTCTAGGAATAAGATCAGAAGGGTCTGGTAAGTCTTCTGTTGCAGCTTTTGGGGTTTTCTGAAGGAAGTAAAGAACAGTGTGTGTTATTTTCTGGTTTACCAATTACTGCAATAAGAAGTCACATGCACACAGCATACAGCCTATGCTTAATAAAAGAAATACACACCCCACCAGGTACCAGGTCATGAGAAAGGGAGAAACAGCAAGAAATTCTAACCCTAAATATGCCACTTCTGCCAAAACATATTACTGCTTGAATAAGCACATCTATAGAACATAAACATCAACCAATGCCCAAATGAAATTCACACACTATTTATTATTCATTTTAGACAAATGTTGGAGGGTATTTTCTTCTGTGAAATGAATATTGAAATATCTTGAATTTTAATTGGTATGCAAAGGATACACCTCTAAATGTTAGTTAATAATTGCTGCAGAAATACGAGTATGTCTGCAATTTTAATAGCCACAGAGAAACACAGGAAGATGTCTAACAAATATTTATCAAAGAATGTGAGATTTTAAGATTCTATAACTTCACAGCATTTACAGCTAAGAACAGTGTACAAATTAAACAAGAGTATAACTAAATCTATTATTAAAATACCCTTAAAATCACAGTTGAAATGGTTTCACAAAAAACATAGCCTCTCTTTTATCCTATTAGCAAGAGTCCTTGGCCATCTGAAAACAGGATTAATTTAGAGTTGACATTACACACCTATTTTGCATATTGTAATTCATTCTGATCTAATTAATTAGTCTTAAAGGTCCCAGATGTAATTTTCAGGAATTAACTGAACAGTCGGACACCTAAGTCTCCCAGACCTCATAAAAGATTCAGAAACCTACATCTTTGTTTTTAAAAAATTATTTTTAAATATTCACAATCAAAATTAGAAATAAATAAAAACATATATATATATATATACATATATAAATAAATAAAGCATATATATATACAGATATATATTTTAAAAATTCATGCTACTATGGGGTAGCTATTACATCTTATACCAAAATGTGCATCTGACAAGAAGAGTAATTGGCGGAAGATGTTTTATGTTCAACAGCAAGCTTCTAAGATTCCCTGTCCAACATTTAAGATAAAAACTTCAGGTTTTAAAACCAGAACTCTGTGGCAGGGGGGTTGAAACTTAATGTTCCTTGAGGTCCCTTCCAACCCAAGCCATTCTATGATTCTATGTTGACATTTAAATGAGAATGAATAATCAAACCAGCAAACGCAACAGAAATTTCTAGCAACAGCCTTTTTCTCAAATTATACCCAATATAATTTTTGACCATAGTAAAAAAAGCGACCCTTGTTTCACCCGGAACTGCAGTTGAGATAAATACAGGGTTTTCCAGAACCATCCAGAAAAACACAAAGTAGACACTAAATTTGTAACGTAACCCACCTTGGCTGAGTGCATGTTCTGAGAGCAATTCTGCTGCAAGGAGAATAAATTTGAGAAACATGCATAACGAGGCCCTTTCCACTTAGTAAACTATGGCAGAGACCACTGCATTTTGGTACATACTTGGTGCTACATGGATTGACCGTCCAGTCAATCCCAACCGTTTCCAAAAACAAGAAAAAAGGATGAACTTGCAGTGGAGTTAAGATGATGAGAAAATAAAGTAATGTGAACTGTCACCAACACACATCATGATCAACTAGAAGGAAATGCCTAATCAAGTATCTGAGATTTTTCTTCTGCTATGGCCATAAACATACCAAGTTCAGATCATATCACTGAGAATCAAAATTTCAGATTGTAAGAATGGTCCAGGAGCTCTAATTCTTCCAGGACAGTATAAAACATACCACAGCATGCATGTCATTCGTTCAAATAACACAAAGAGACAAGAAGAAACATACTCGGAATTGCATCTTCCTCCTTGATGGAGAGGCTTCACTTTCCATCTTCTCCTGATGTTGTAACAAAATTTTAAGTTGATTAACTAGGAAGAGATTAAAAAAAAAAAAAAAACACAAAAAAACACACTGGTTATAAGCAAAACTATTGATAGTACGAATGAATAAATTTAATATTGTTTGTAACATTTTTATCTGTTTGCCTTCAGAGTAATCTTACCTGCATGACTGTGCTGTAGCTCCTCCCAGGGTGGATCGCCACTGTTGTCACTGCATCTGTCCACATCATCACTGCCCTTGTCCACAGAGGACTGGTCAAATCCAACTTTATCCTTATTCTCCGTGAAATGCCTTTCCTCCAAGGCATATTTCAGCTGATGGATACTTTCATTAGCACGCTCTGCAAACAATCATATCATTAGCCACAGCAGACAACATAAAAGGAAATATTTTAAGTTGCAAAAAACTGTGAGAACTAAATGCATTCAGCAGCTGTCTAACTTGACTCCTTCATCTTAAGCCAGCCACTGAAAGCAATTACAAAATGCAAACAGCCAAAACTACGACAGGTCACAACTTGAGGAAACAACATTTACTACATTTCTAAATAATAAGTTACAAACAGTGTCAGCCTGTCAATACAACATGACTTCACAGCAGCACAAGTAGCTAGTATTAAAAATTGCTACTACAAAGCTTCAACTATAGTCAAACCTTACAGTATTTCAAACATAATGCTCATTCTGTATTTGATATAATGCACAGGATCAGTCTCTAAGGATTGGTTTAGTGATTTCTCATGGCGACACCTTACACGACAAAGCAATGCCTCATATAACTGAAAAATAACTGAAATAAAAATTCAGCAAATGCAGTCAACATAAAACAGAGATTAAATAAAGACATTTGACTTCTGAATGGGTGTAAAAAATAAATAATGCTCATTCAAAATAAAACAAAAAAACACCTGTTTCCATATACACCAAAATACTCTATGAATCCTTTCAAGAACGGACTTGGTAGTGCTACAATAACATTCTTTTCTCATTTTCAGTGCACTGAACTTATTTTCTTTTTTATCTTTCTTTTTATTCTGCTAACTTCATAAAAATAGAAAACCATAAATGCCACATTATACCAATGTACCTGAACATTACCAGTATGTCAGAAAAGAAACTGGAAAAACTTGCAGACTGAGAGGTGAAAAATGAACAAAATATGAAAATTAGAAAATATGAGCATGGCTTTAAACAACAATATTTCTGATCCACACTGTAGGACCTCCATCAGTTATTTCTCTTATCACTTCTTTCTTACCATCACCTATGTATAAATGGAGATTAGTAGTTTATTCCTCTTCCATTTAAGTGCACATACACAAACTAGACAGGACAGACAGGAAAGCAGCCTAGAGGAGTATGGCTTCCTGCAACAATCAAAAAGCAAGATCTCTGGGCTCTGCTGTAATACCAAGTGAACTCAGAAACACCTACCTGAAAATATATTTTGAATTTAAAAAAAAAAAAAAAAAAAGTAAAAAAATCACTGTTCAGCATCTGCTGGTAGAACAAGCAAATGTTTTAGAGTATAATAAGTGCTGAAGGTTAAAAATATTAATAGCTCCTCTCTTCCAAACAGCAAAGTGAACAGCAATTCAAGTCGGAACAAAAGCTAAGTATGTATATCTAGCTTCACTTTACCTATCTTTTTCAAGTTCAAATACATCACCTTGACTAAAATTAGGAAATACTTTTTTTCCCTGACTGTAACAGTTTTCACAGTCCTTTTCTCTGCATTGCCATAACTCACCTATAGTTCATAAAATATAAATAAGACACCAACACCATTCTACTTAGGAACATGGTTTTCAACCCAGTGTGCCAGTTCTGTCTCACATTTTACTGATGCTAGTTTTTCACAGAATCATGAGTTGCTTCTCACATATTAATCTTTCCACAGAGCTCATTTTTAAAGCCCATTTATCTTATGACCAGTCTTACCTCTTCTGATTTTCAGGTACTCCATGCTTTAACCAAGTTAGTGTAAGAGAAGAAGCAAAAGCACATTTTAGACAGTCATGATTTATTATACCAAACCCAAATATATTTCACAAGGTGGTGGCTCAGGCAAGAGAATCTAGGTCATACATTTTTCTATTAGCTAATGGGCATAATTAAGTTACCCATTCTTAAGGATTACAGGATGTTATGAGACTGGGAGAGTTAATTGACGAATGGTAACTGTATCTCACTGATGCAATAGCTTGAATATTTAGTAAACTATGTTGCAATGAGTTGTTGCCAAAAGATATTCAATGTCAGCTAAAGTATTGCATGGAGAGTCATTTGATAACTAGAGAATGCACCTAGTTTTCCTGTTCACTGTAAGCCTCTGTCAGAGAACCCTGAATTCTAATTTTCCTTCTGTAGCAAGTGGGGGGAAAAAAAAGAATAAAAACAAAACAAAGTACATGTCCATGTATATGCTTTCTTCCACAAAGTGTGCAGGAGTAGTAGTGAAACATAATAAAAACATTATATGTGACATGCTGACGTCTATTTTTCTTGGCTAAACATTTCCTGTCTCTAGAAGAATATCCCCATATTTTTGAAAGCTTCATTAATATTTGACAAAGTTGCTTAAAGGCTTTCTGGTTTCATAACTAAAAAGGCTGCTGCTATAAGGAAAAAGCTCACTACCGGGGAACTGGGAATTAGGAGCTTTCAATACCAAACAGCTAACAATCATTTGAGTACGAGTTGAACTGGACATATAAAAGGCAAAATGTACAATTTTTTTTCTAAGTACATCATTTGGGGGCATTAGGATAAAAGAATAAACATTAACAAGTGGGAATGTACACATTCTACATTGATAAAAGCAACAAATGTTCTTCCTAAGCATGAAAGAAGCAGAAAGAACCACTGTGGATGCAAACTATTGGAGACCGAGGCATCTTTACTTAAAGATCTCACAATAATTTTTAAAATGAAGCCATAAGTTTCTAAGTGCTAGCACAGTCAGTCTACTTTTTCAGTTAGCTATTCCTACAACAGCACATTTTACAAAAGCTGCTCTCAGTAAAAATGCATTGCCCAACATTGCCTGCATATCCACTCTATTCTTTTCTGCATTTTAAGACTTTACAAACAATATCTGAGAATATATTTCCGTTGCGTGATAAAATGTCATGGATGTCTTATCTCCCATAGGTAGAGCTAAGGATATAGATGAATCGCAGCATGGCTGAGCTTGGAACGTGTCTCTGGAGGCCATCTGGTACAACCTCCAGCACAGACACCACATCCACGTGTAACACAAAGATCTCCACAACCAGATTCCACACACAAAAGAGCACTGATTGTGTTAAACATTCAATTTTAGTTGGAAACAAATCAAAATGATAACACAATCTAGGATTTCTGAAAGCAGTCAAATCTAATATGCAGATACTATCAGCAGTGGGGAAAGAAAGCCTTTATCTCTGTTTTTTTTCCTTATGTTTTTTCCCCCTCCAATGCTCATTAAGATTTTTTTTTAAAGTTGCCTACAGACATATAAAAGTAATTATAATATTTCCTACACTAGAGAGGATCTGATGCATCTTCATACTACCCATTAAAATATATGCTTGAAAACCTGCCTCAAAAAATATGTCATTTGTTTCCTAGAATGAAAAATATGAAATGTCAAAATACGTATGTAAATTCAATTTCAGAATTTGTACAGATAACTTATCTGGACTGAAAAGAAAATTAAAAAAAAAAAAACCCAAATCATTTTATTAACTGATAATGCTTTCTGTTTTTCAGTATTTAGTGGTCATGGCACCAAACCTGCTGGAGGTCAAGGAATGTTTGAACAGCATTCTCAGACACAGGGTTTGGATCTCGGATATGCTAGAATGGAATCAGGAGTTGGGCTCAATGACTCCTGGGTTCCCTCCCAACTCAGGATATTCCATGATCCTATCACGAAAAAACACAAGCCAGCAACAAAACCCAATGCTCCTTTTTTCTTTGACGTATCAGCTTTCATCTTAAGTATTAAATCTGGTTTAATACTGGTATCCTTTTTTCAGAGAAGTATCTTTATATAAATACAATTAGTACAAGGGGTTTTTTTAGCAGCATGTCACTGCTACTGTAGAATGTATTTTGTTCTATTAAATTGGAGATATGACTGATGCATTCAACTTGTCAAATAAACAAACAAATAAATAAAGGCTAGAGTCAAAACTCTGAAATTAAATTCAACACAAAAAAGCTTGCTGTATTTCCATGTAAGTAGTACTCAGCTTTGGAGGAAAAAAATAAAATTGTGTGAACAATACATCACTGAAAGGAACACAGAAAAAAACAGAGAAGGCATTGAATCCTGTTTGCACTGCCTAAACAACAGATGTTTTTTCAGGCACTGCCCAAGACTGTCTATGAAGAGCAATTCTTCAAATGAAAGCACCAAAGTTATCTCATTCATGTACTCAGAAGTGCCACAGAAAATACTCTAATGGAGAGCTTAGCACAGGAAACAACCATCCAGAACAACAAAATTGGCTACAAGAGATGGAAAAAACTCCAGGTGGGAGAAGTGTTAAGGAACAGACATTAAAAAAAAAATAACAACTCTGCAAAAAATGTTGCTTTAACTGTCATCTAAGGACAACTGTCTAGTTTGTTTGTTTTTAATAAGACTAGTAGTCTCTACATTAAAAAACGTAACTAGTAGTATTTAAAATATTTACTGGACAGAGAAGCAACTGAAGGAACTGGGGCTGGTTAGTCTCAGGAAGAGGAGGCTGAGGAGAGACCTTATTGCTCTCTTCCAATATCTGAAAGGTGCTTACAGCGAGAGCGGGGTTGGTCTCTTCGCAATGGTGACAGGACGAGGGGAAATGGCCTCAAGTTGTGCCAAGGTAAGTTTAGGTTGCATATCAGGAAACATTTTTTTACAGAAGGGGTTGTTAAGCACTGGAATAAGGCTCCCCGAGGAGGTGATTGAGTCACCATCCCCGGATGCGTTTAAAAACTGTTTGGATGTGGTGCTCAGGGACATGACTTAGTGGAGGGCTGTAAGAGTTAGGGTGGTATGGTTAGGTTGTGATTGCACTCGACGAGCTTTAAGGTCTTTTCCAGCCTGAGCAATTGTGTGTGTATGATTTTGACAGGTTGATTAAAAAAATCCTCCTTCAAAAACACTGATTTGCACTCACCAGATTATTTGATAATACTGAAGCATCCTAGCTAGAACTGATTCTTTCTGGCCATTCAAACAGTAGTGTTCATGACACAGACAGAGCAGAAGGCTCACAGGACATTCATGCCATGACCACCATAATTGATATGACTACAATAGCACAACTCTTTCTCTGCAGCAGAAAATACCTTTCCGGGATAACTTTTGAACATAAATTCTATTACCTCCTGAGTATTTTGAAGTTCATTTGAAATAGTTTCAAGTGAAAGTTTACATAGTAACCTAATAAACCCACCGCACAAATATCACCCTCCTAACTCCACATTACACACAATTGTAAAGACTTTAATTATACAAAGTCTTAGACTAATCAGGAAAATCCCTGCTACAAGGCCTTTAGTACTTCCATCAGAAATCCCTCTAGGGGGCTCTAGGACAACCTATTTCTCAGTCACACTTTTTGTCTGGCTTTCTGCCCTCTGGCTATTGTAGTTGGCTTGCTGAATGCTTGGACTTCCCTACAAACCAGTCTCCTGAGGCAACTCTCTTTACAACAAAGGACACTGCACTGAAGAGTAACTGGTAATCTTTGAGAACTTATACACCCTTTCATCTCACTGAATAAGGCCATAAAACGATTCTTCTGATCTCCAGAATGGATGGTATTAACCTCCTGCCACATATCAGCCTGCATCCAAGAGGAACTGTTGCAATGTATCAGACAGGATCCACATAAGGTCAAGGACTGCACTTCAGGAACGCTGCATATCAAAAACATTAAAGGTGCTAAATGCTACCTGAAATTTCAGAATCCCAATTACACAAATGACGTGAACTTGTACAAAAATCTCAAACTACGTAATTAAGACTGGAAAAGAATTAGGTTCATCAGCTCATGGAGCAATAAATCCATTAATTCCACAATGAATCATAAAGCTACTGGGACCAACGTGAGAAAAAGAGAGGGAAATGAAACAGCCAATAGAAAGCCGTGTTCTGAAGTGATTTAAAAACCACAGTGGATCCAGTGTGAAGCAATCCAGTCATTCTATATTATGAGCTCCTGTAAACAGTCCAAGATGCAAGATTCTTGAGAAAGGCCCTTTAAAGTTACATGAAATTTAAAGCCATCACCTACAGCCTCCAGATAGCTTGGTACAAAGGCATGCTTTGAACTCTACATATTAAAAGTTTATGAGCTCATAATGACTATGAAGATGTACCTTTAGATATACAACAGTTCCCAAGCAACTCCAACAGATTTTCTAGTTGACAGAAAGTGAAATTTCAGTGGAATAGTTTAAATGCACAAAAAACCTAAGACAAAATTAAAAAAAAAAATTGGATTTGTGTTGCAAAATGCTACAAAAGCATATTTTAATGAAAAGTCTGGTTTGAATCAAGAAAAGAACCAAACTTACTAAACCACACACACAAAAGAAATATTAAATATGTTAAAGCTTGGAGAACATAGGGAAAGAAAGCACAGTAGACTTGAACTTCAAACATTTTTTGATTTTCCCACTGTCACAGCCTAAGAAAGATGAAAACAATCTATTTTGAAGGCAGTTCAGGCAGCTCAATGTAACCACTGTAAACATATATTCCCACATGCCCCAGCAGGATGCAGTTTGAACAGAGCAAGTTGCATACTCTGGAAGTTAAACACTTTAACACATCTCCTTAGATGAGAACGAACACAAAAAATCAGCCTTCTCCACTGCCCACGTGCCACCCATTAAGCTTCACAGTGATTCAAGGGGCCAGTACTAACTGAGCATCAACGCCTAAAATGAAAAGGCAAGTCAGGCATGGCACAATTAAAGAACAAAATAGGCTTGGGGTGGAGTGGCTGAAAGCTGCATGGAAGAAAAGAACCTGGATACATTTGTCAACAGCTGGTTGAATGCGAGCCAGCAGTATGGTCAGGTGGCCAAGACCAATGGCTTTTATCAGAAATAGTGTTGCCAGCAGGAGCAAATAAGCGATCATCTGTCTGTACTCAGCTCTGGGGAAGCCACACCTTGGGCGCTGTGTGTTCAGTACTGGGTCCCTCATTAAAAGAAAGACACTGAGACCCTGGAGCATGTCCAGAGAAGGGCAACAAAGCAAAGGGGTCTGGAGCACAAGTCTTATGGGGAGCAGCTGAGGGAGCTGAGCTTGTTTAGTATGGAGGAGGCACAGGGGCAACCTTATTGCTTTCAGCAACTGCCTCAAGGGAGGTTGTGGTGCGGTAGGGGTTGGCCCCTTCTCCCCGAGTAACTAATGATAGGACTAGAGGGAATGGCTTCAAATTGCACCAGAGAAGATTCACGTTGGACATCAGGAAAATTTTATTCTCAGAAAGAGTAGTAATGCATTGGGACAGGCTGCCCAGGGAGGTGGCGGAGTCACTGTCCTTGGAGGTGTTTGGTATCATGTGGACGAGGCACTGAGAGACACGGTTGGTGAGATGACAGGGATGAGTTGGCAGCTGACTAGATGATCCGACAGGTCTTTATCAACCTTAATGATTCTGTGAAGTTCATTACAAAGCACCTCAGAAACCAACACCAAGAGAGCTGCAACTTGTTAAAAACAGCCCGTGTGATCGCACAGGGCCACAGTTTACCAGACGCAGTACTTTCGGGCTCGTTCTAATTTGACTACAAGTTCCGACTCCCGCAAGCACTTGATGAAAACCTCAAAGCTCAGGAAAGACACCTCGGGCCGTTAGCAGCGGAGCGGCGCACTGCCGCAGCGCGTCCGACCACTGGCGGGCGCCCACCCGGTGCCGGCCCGGGCAGGAGCAGCCCTCCTCACCCGCCCACAGCTCCGCGGGCCGCGCTCACCTCGGAGCCGCCTCTGGTATCGCTGCAGAGATTCCTCCAGGGCGGGCTGCCCACGAGGCGCCCGCATCGGGACGCCACCGACCGCCGAGAAGGGCGCGCACCGAACCTCCCGGCGCCACCCCGCGGCACTTCGGCCCGCGCCGCCTCCCCAGCTCCCGGAGGAGCCGCTACGCCGCTACCTTCCGTTGCTACAACGCCAACTACCAGCCACAGCCGAGAGCCCGAGCTGCGCCACGCCCCCAGCTACACGGCGCGCGGGGAGACCGCGGCGCCAACCACAGCTCCCAGCAAACGGTGCGCGGCGCAGAGCGCGCTGGGAGGCGTAGTCCCCTCCGCGCACTCAACTGGCAGCGGGAGGAGGATACGCACCGCTTCTCTTTTCCCCTTTGTTGTGGCTCGCAACGGCCTTCGCGCCTGCGTACTGTGCACGCCTTCCGCCTACGTCCCCGCGCCCGCAGTGGCTGAGCACAGCGCAGGTCCCGGTACGGCCGAGGGGGCGGATCCACGTTCGCCTCCCACTGCCGCGAATTGCGGCGCGAGTGGAGCGCCGACCGCGCTATTGTCTGAAGTCGGCGCAAGCGCAGCTCCGACCCCGCGGCTCGGCCCTCTGCGCCTGCGCGGCGCCGTCCGCCCTCCCCCCCCCGCATTGTGTGAGCCCGGGCGGCGCCTGCGCAGCGCCGTGCCCGCTCTGCCCGTTAGCCGCTATGTGCAGGGAATAACGTTGCCGCGGTTGCCGGAGGAACGCGGAACGGAACGTCCCGCCCCGCCCTGCGGGGCCGCCGGTTCAACGAGCACCCGGCGCCACTACCACCAGCAGCGGGTCGACCCCGTGGCGCGGAGAGCCTCCTCGGAGGGGTGAGTGGGGACTTGAAGGAGAAGTGGGGCTGGAGAAGCCCATTGTGTCAGCGGGCGTCGGGCGGGCTGTGCCCCGCAGCGCGGATCCGGTCGTAGCCGCGCTCCCCGCGGGGCCCAGAGGCCGCCCCGCGCCCCCGCCTCCATCCGCCCTCGGCAGCGCGGCGGGAGGCGTGGGGCAGCGGTGGGGCGGGCTGCGGTGCCGCCCCTCTGGCCCGCGCCGCCGGCACACCCCTGAACCGCCGCTGCGCCTCCCTCGGGGTCCGAACGCGCCCCCGGCGGCGGTCATTTGACGGACGGCGTTGCCCGGCGAGACGGGGCGACTGATGGAGAACGGCCGCCTGCGCCGTCTGCCCATTGTGCGCGCCCGACGAGGAGTGTCCTCCGCTCCGCGCCGTCCTCCCGCGCCTCCTCACTTCTCCCTGTGGAGAAGCGCGGCGTAGCCGCCCTTCGCTGTGTTTCTGTGCGGGCGGTTATGGCCCTTAGCCGGGTGCACTGCGCGACTGACAAAGCGTCGCGCAGCGCCGTGCTGCCCGTTACGGCGTCACGCGGGGAACGGGCTGTGGGTGCGATGCTGCCGAATGGGAGACAAAAAGAGCAGCCCCCTTGTGACGGGCTGGGGAACACAGACAGCATCCCGGACTCGACGGTTTGAAGGTGTTCTCTTCGTTGCGAATTTAAACATCTGAGGGGTTTGCGGGACGAAAGCGTGCTGCTGGCACCGTGGTGGGCACGGCCTTCCGAATGCCGCTCGAGGCTCTGACAGTGCTCCTGGCCCGGCGCTCGCCCGTGTGGGATGGGGCGCCTTGTGCAAACTGAGCTGAGGCATGAGCACATATGCCGTGATTTCCTGTGATTGATTTCCTCTGGGAATGGCTGTCCAGATGCTGAGGAGCCCATCCTGAGCTGTCCTGAACTAAGCTGTCACCACGGGAGCTGCTCAACTTCAAATTTTATTTAACAAAATTTTTGTCTGAAAGGGGTCATGAAGCCGGACTGAATGGGGAGAAGGGTATGGCTGAAGATGCACAGAAATCTATCAAAAGCAAAGCCATGAGGTGTTATTGTGGGTTTTTTCTCCTCTCATTTCTCAACTACTTAGAAGTTATTTGTAAAGGATCAGATACAAATATTTTCTCACCTTTTAAGAGAAATACTGTGGCATATAAGTAGTTACCAAGCTTCCTTTCTCATGGTAGTGCAGGGATTTCTTTGACATCTGTTCGAGATGTTTTGCAGGTGCTGCCTGCCTCCCTTATCTGGTCATGCTGGGCTTTGCAAATCAGAACAGTTTCTTGCTATCTTGTGCCTCCAGACTGTGAGAAACGTGGCAAAAAAGATTTTAGCAGTTCTTTTGTAACATACAAGCTCAAAAAGAACCAAGTTATGAAAGTGAACTGCAGAAGTTGATGTACTCTTGGGGGTGAAAACTGGGAGCTTCCCTGAGTGACAAGAGCCTAACCTAAAACATGAGTAGCTGCACAAACTGATTTTGAAGTTCCATTTCTAGTTTTTTGCAAACATAGGCAGAAAGGGCTTAATGTGAATGGATGCCACAATGTCTCCTTGGGTCCCTAAAGAGAACTATTGCAGTGTCAGCACTGCTGGCTCTGCAGGCAGAATGACCCTGGAGTAAAACAGACTTGTTTTACTTAAACCAGAAGGCCAATAGAATCTGAAATTCTGCTTTCCCAGTAGAAGATGTTGGACAGGAGAGCCAGGCATTGAGTCTCTTTGGATAGATTCTATCTGCATCTAACATCTGTGAGCTGTTCTCTGTAGGACACGCTCCTTGTTGTGGTAAATATTGGCATGGCTGGGACCAGGAAACTGCAGATGAGGGAAGAAAGTCCTTTGTCTCTAAGGGATGGAGCTTCTGTCTGCTGAAGTTAGGTGCGTGTCTGTTCTACAGCGTCCTGTGACTGTGCCAAGTGAGCCTGGGAGGTGTGTCTCGCTGCCTGCCAAGTTTATAATGCTCTTACAGAGCACCTGCGCTCCTTCTGGTCCTCTGTTTGTTGTCGTATCTTGCATTGTCATGTTCCTTGAACATCTTCAATGGAGTGGTGTACAGATAGCAACTTCCTTCTGTGTGCAGTGCTCATGCTCCTCTGGGTCAGAGTCTGTGCACTGTGCTGAATGCGGTGGTTGTCCTGGGAAAAATAGAGCATGATCACATGGCTTGAATGGTAAGGTATAATGTATGCAAACAAGGCTGAGAGGAAAGCACAAACTACTTAATTAATCAGCTCTGTGAATGTCTGTTTTGTAGACACAACAAAATATTAAAATTACAAATGTTTGGTTCACTTTTATAATTTATTTTCTTCCACTGTCCTCTTAAAGCTGGGAGGTTGTTTTTATTTTAGAGATGCATTTATAGTTAGGGCCTTAAGAAACTTTTATTTCAAATTTTGTTTGATCTTCAAAAAAATATATATATATATATATTTTAAATTAACGTGTTTTTTTTTTTTTTTTTTTAATCATACATTATGTCAGAAGCAGTTTGTCCTAGAAACTTCAAATGAAACCATCAAAGATGGTTTAGTGGATTGCCCATGATTCTGAATTGCTTTGTTCAATCTCTTAGATGGTTGAGTCTTTTAAGATGAGGCAAAGTGGCACTTGCCCATCTCACAGTGGCTGTGAATGGAGCAGTCACACTCACCTGGTCCTCTTACACTGTGAAAAGTTGATTCACATGACTAATTGAGCCAGTTTCTTTTCTTTTTGTTCTGTTTGTGCTTTTTTTTTTTTTTTTTTTTCCCCTTGGGTTAGCAAATTGAATTATTTTATGGTGTGGTCAGAGGAGTGCTGGAGCAAGTACACAGAGTGGGAACAGCAACATCAGGTCTGGAAGAAAATATTGCATTTTCTGGTAGCAGAGATCCATTTGGACTGCTTAGCTGTGCTCTCTGACAGTCTCCTGCTTGCTGCAGAATACTGCAGACAGGAAGGGAAATGGATAAATATCCAAGAAAACCACCAGGAGACTGGTTTTAGTTTTATCATTAGTCTTTGCTGTTCTTTATCTGTGAAAGGTTCACATCCACAATGTTCAGAACATGAAACTGGGTGAAAAATAATGTTTCTTTGAGTGTAGGTATGCAAAGAGAATTGGAATGAGATAGTGGTTCTGCTAAGTGATGTGGCCTTTGCGTAAGAAAGTTGTGAAGAAGCATGTGGTTTTTCTTTTCTTTAAAATGGTATTAAAATGCTATATGTGAAGAATGTGCTTTTACTAATTCAAAACCGAAACATCTTTCGTTTCATCCTCTGAATAGAATACTCAGTAAAATAGGGTAGCTTTTTTCCTATGTGCATCTGATATATCAACTTTGTTTCTGCTCATTTAGTCCCTGTAGAAATGGCTATTGAAAAACAGGCTTCCCGTTAGCTAGGTGCTATTCAGAGCTCCATCCCCACCCACTGGTGGGCCTCACAAGCTGACTCACCGCCAACAGCTGCAGTCTTCTTATAAAGGTCTAGCTTCTTCAATTTGTTCTGCTGTATTTGTGGCAAGAATTGGTGTTCTTGTAACAGGTCCCTTTGTCTACTTCTTTCCAATCTTGTGAACTAAAATCTTATTTTCTGAACTTCTCCATGAAACTAAGGTGATTGATATAAGAAGAATCTGCTAAAGCCTATGTGATGAACTTTCCACATTTGGTATTATTTCATATATCATTCCTGAGATTCTGGTTCTGTTCCTTTAAAGTTTCTTTCAGAAAGTACAGCGATTATTGATCTTTTCAGAGAAATAGAGAAGTGATACCACTCCCTGGTGTTTCCGTGATCATCTTTGTGCGCAGGGTATTTTGCTGGTCTTCAGCTGTGGTTCTGTATGAAGAAAGAACTGAACTTGCAATCAATCCATTAGCTAACTATTGTGGTCTGGAAGATGCAGTACAGTGAATGCATTAAATCAGATGTATTTAGAACTCATCCCTCAAAATGACACACATAATTTTCTTAATGATCTTTCTGTTCAGCTGCAAATCCTCTGCTATCTAAGTAGGCATTCTCAGTAGGCCTTTTCAGCTATCTTTTATTTATTGTCTTGTTACATTTCAAGAATTGGAATAAAAATCCAAGAAGTCAACATGCCATATCTCTTCTGTTTTCCCACACGCACACATTTTTCTTGCTTTCATTAATCTCATTTCTCACCCTCATCAACCACCAATGACATAATTGGTAATTGAGCCTTAGGCCACTATCAGTGCAGGAGTCTTGATGTCAGGAATTATTACACTTAATTTTTGTATTTTAGTTTAATAGGTGAAAGATATAGTGAATAGTATTGCTGTTTAGTTTAACTTAATTTTTTTATTTTGTAATTTTCCTAGGAACATAAGAATGGCCATGTTGGGTCACAATAGAGCTCAATCTAATGAGGGCTCCATGAAGAGCTGTTAATCCAGTGCCTAGGGAGAGACAAGGAAGGTGTAGGCATGTATGATATCTTCTTCTAAAACGATGCTATGCGTTTTCTACTTGAGACTTTAGAGCCAGGTGTTGTTTCTATTAACTGTTACTCTTTCTACTTGATCTGCTTTTCTTCAGCATTGTCTTTTCTAGCAACATGTTAGAATTGTCCCTTTTTGTTTTTCAGACCTTTATTTTTCATAAACATTCAGCCTTATACTAGCTTAATTTAACAGCTAAAATCTTTCTTACCTCTTTTCATTATTGAAGATAGGCAAATGCATTTTTTTGAGGTTAATGAAGACTATGGTCACCCATCTCCTCTATATGTGATATATATATATATATTTATATATATTTAATTGTGCTTGGTTTCAAAAAGGAATAATCACATAATACAGGGGTCACACACTTCCTATGAGAATTGCTCTTTTGGATGATTGGCAAAGCACAGTTCAAATTTTAGCTTATGAATTGGCTTTACAACTGACTACTACAGGTCTGTTTTGAATTGCAAGCAGAAAATGTTGAGAACCCGGATCTTCTTTGCTTGTTTAGCTTTTGGGTCCACAGAA